TTTCTTCTGTTGTTGTAATTACAGTCGGAACTATAAAAAACAAAAGTTTAAAAGAAAGAATTTTTTTTTTGTGTGTGTTTTTGTTACTATTTTGTTGTATAACATTTGTTGTTGTATTTATTATTATTGATGATATTGAATTTTGAACAGGTTGTTGTTGTTGTTGTAATGGTGAATCATTACCTAATTCTGTTTGTTGATTTATATCAAGTCGTAATTTTTTTCTATCATCTTCTCGTTTTTCACGAATTGTATTAACAATTTTTTCAAGTTCATCAAGTGATTTCTAATACAAAAACAAAAATAGAAACATCTTATTTTTGTTTTAAATATTTTCTTACTGGTCGATGTTTATATAAACGAAGTATAGCTATCATAATATAATTAATTTCATCTAATTTTGCACCAAATATAATAAACCATGGAGGATTTTTTGGTAATGAAATCTATTTAAATAAAATTCTTTTTTTTTTTTATTTCTATATATTTTAGTCTTTTTGTTTTTTTACTTGAAGAGTACGTGCTGCTAAATCAATACATGCACAAGCTATTGTTTCAGGAGTAAAACGTAGAAAAATATCTGTACGTAAACTATCATTCATATAATTCCTAAATGAGAAAAAAAAAAAAGAAATTCGAATTTAAATTTACAAAAGTAAAAACGAAAAACTATATATATGTATTTTTTTGTGTGTGTCTCTATGAAAAAAAACAACAACTAATAAATCAAGTATCGGCATATCGGTAATGAAAGAAGACAAAAAAAAACAAATATCTCATAGTATTTGTTTGTTATGTTTGGTTTTAATAGAAAATGAACAAAGCTGGAAAAGAAAAAATAAGTAGAAAATTTAAAATAATATAAATAAATCTAAAAAGAAAAAGTAGAAAATATTAAATAGATATTAAATTATATAAATAAAAAATGTTTTTTTTTTCCTTTTGTTCAACCAGCTTTGTTCAATTAAGATTAAAATTAAACATAACAAGACAAAACTAGAATAATAGAAAGAAAGAGAATACATATATATGAGCTAAATCATTCGTTAGCAATGTGATATTGTGATTTTTGTATGTTGTACGAATCTCTATTTAATCAACATTCTAGAGCTTTGTTCAGAGGGAAAAAACTAGCGTTAGCAACGTGACACCAAAAAAGCAGTGTTTCATCTAGGTTTCGTTTCCCAAGTGGGCGAGTCGAAATTTCGGATGGGCAGCGCCCACTCGACCCACTCAGTAGATAAATCACTGCCAAAAAGGACATCAACTGTCATTTGACATACTTTAGATTTCTTAAAATTTCCAAGTGTTGCACAATTGCCGAAAACTTAATACATGATACTAGACATGACTTCTAAGGCTATCAAATTCCGATGTAAAATTATTTTGAACATGTATAAATTTTTCAAAAAATAAAATTTATTCGGCGTTAGTGATGTGATTCTTAATTAGTTAATTTATAACCATGTAAAAGAGTAGACAATTTTACATACAGCAAAACTTCCCATAGTGGACACTCCGCCGTCCGACGGAGAGGTTTTCACTGGAACTGAACCTCTGCATAGTGGACACTATCCGATACTGGACATTTTTGAGAAGTCTAAGAGTCTTTCTATATTCTAACAATTGTTGATTTTTTTTGTATTTCAAGAACAAAAATGCATGAGGAGAGAAGTAACAATGAGCATTGGTTAGTTATCTTATTCACTAACATCCTTCAAATCCTTAGAAAACGCGCCCACTTCTTCGAAAAACTTCGCTTTTTGAAAAGACCAAACCTGTCTATAGTGGACACTTTCAAAAAGTCCCATAAGTGTTCATTATAGAGACGTTTTACTGTAAGTCTATGTAAAAACAATTGACTCAAAAAAAACCTATATTGATAGAGAATTGAATTTAAATACAACGGGTGAATGTTCGGTTTTCGTTGATTTAGCCCATATATATGAATAAGAAAATATAATTTATAAATAAATCAATAAAAAAAAAAAAAAGAAAGAAAGAAAAACATTACCGACCGATACTTGATTATTAGTCGAGTGTTGAAGAAACGACCCGACGTTGTATGTATATATTCCGACCATATGAACGGGTTATATACGCATCATTTTTCCATATATCCTGGACGAAAGACAAGAAATTCATTTTTTATTGAATATATTTTAATTTCAAATTTAAAATACATTAGGGAATCAAAAAGAAAAGAAAGACTAAAATTAACCAACAGATTTTTTTTGTTTTCATACTTTATTTTTAATCACAGAATATGCTGCTAATAGAAAAAATAATTATATTTAAATAAAGAAACAAAAAAAAAAAATATTAAGATTTTTTTTGTTTTAAACTCATCATCAAATTTAAAAAATTCAACTAAAGACATTTTATTCAAAAATTTTTAAATGAATCTAATATAATTGAGTCAAAGAGGAAAAAACAAAAATGTTATACTTTAGCGTATTTCCAGACTAATTCATAACTGTGCATCAGATCTGTTTAGTTACTTTCAAAGTAGGAGTGCAGTGAGTAGATTTACGCAGGTTGGACTTCAGCTAATATATCGTAACACAGATCGATAGGAGACTTGAAATAGCTAAACAGATTTGATGCACAATTATGATATAATTTGAAAGTATAGGGAGTACTCTGACGTACGACATGTTCATTTTTTTTCCCCTTTGAATTGAGTTCTCTTTAAATATAGGAACTCGAACCCTTTTAGAGTTTTTATTAGGATATTAAAAAACTAAATATCATTGAAATCGGAATGAAACATTCATATGGACTTTCTTTGATTAATCGTATTTTAAATATCGAATGACTTATAAATAGTAAACCAATGTTATCATAATAATTTTTGTTTTCAAATCGTATTTCTATAGTGATGTAAAATATCATTCTGTACAAATATTCGTATTGAAATTTAAATAGAATTCTTTTTTTTATATTTCAAATATGAAATCATTTCGATATCAGTCAGCAAATTAGAAAAAGTAATAAATATGATATACTCAAGTCTATTTCTATTTTGTATCATATCATTTGAAAATCAGAAAACCTAAAAGTTTTTTTTTGTTCTTGAACAAAAATAAATTCAAAAATACCTACCAAGCTGTTTGTACAAGATTTTTTTCACGTTCTTTTTCTAGGACTTTTAAATACACTGTTATCATCTATTAGAAAAAAAAACAAAAACAATAGATAAGATTAAAAAAAAAAGAATACTGAAAAATTTACTTTATGTGGATGTTTAACATAAACACAAAATCCAAGTTCTTTAAGTAAACGTCTTTCAGCTTTAATAACTTCATTTTTACGATCAATATATATTTGATCAATTAATAATGGACGAATAGTTCTATTAAAAAAATAAAAATAAAAATCTTTTTTTGTATTTTAAAAACATACTTTCCCGATCGAATTTGTTTTATATGATGAAATACATTAATAACATCACGTATTCGTCGTGCATTTTCTTCTATTTTAGCTGCAAGATTTGTACATGCCATTGCAAATATTTCCATTGGACGACGAATAAATGATGATGAATAAAAATATCGATGAAATAATACTTGACCTGTAGCTACGGCTGTCTTTAAAAATAAAAAGAAGAAATTAAATTTTATCTAAATAATAGTATTTCTAATTGAAATTTTAAACCGAAAAGAAAATATTCCTTTATCGTATTAAAATCTTCTAATATAAACTCAAATAATAAATATCAATTTTGTAATCCTTTTACAAGCTTATTACATTTCCGAAAAAAGTAAAAGATACAATTTTAGATAATATATTCAGACTAGTGGCGTATACAGGATTTTACCTTCAGAGCATGGGATCCAGATGAAACTTATAGAGATATGATATTGGATTCAAATGATGAGTTTTTATAATGGAAGTTTGCGAAAAAAGTTAGCATTTTTCTGAGCCTGACTAAGATTTTTCTTTTTCTATTGGTAGTATATTGATTTTTAGAATTTAATAGTAAGCTACATCGAAATTCATCGATAGATTTCAAATTTCATTTAAAAATATGCATCCATTCACGAGTTATAATGTTTTGGAAATTTGCTGTATGCTGTTAAAATTTTAGAAAAAATTCAAAACATTGTAACTCATGAACGGATGCATATTTTTAAATAAAATTTGAAATCTATCGATGAATTTCGATGTAGCTTACTATTAAATTCTAAAAATCAATATACTACCAATAGAAAAAGAAAAATCTTAGTCAGGCTCAGAAAAATGCTAACTTTTTTCGCAAACTTCCATTATAAAAACTCATCATTTGAATCCAATATCACATCTTTATAAGTTTCACATGAGTCCTATGTTCTGAAATTCAAATCCTGGATACGCCACAATTCTATAACTACAATTTCAATCAGTATTCTCTCTCCGATTGATTTCTATTATTATTAAATATCTATAAAAATTTACTTGTGGTAATCTTAATAATAAACATGCTGTTTGTATAAGTTCACAACCAATTAATCTTAAATCATATTCAACATCATAAGGTAAACCTTCATTCATTGAAGGTGTTGGACTTGGATAAAGTTTATCTAATGGTAATATAACATTACCTAATGTTAAAACGACACTTCCATATTCGGGCATCGTTTAAAAAATCAATGCAAATAGGATTGTTATTGTTTTTTTTTTTGTTGTCTTTCTATCCAAATGACATGTTTATTATTTATTAATAAATTATTAGTCATACAACAAAAAAAGAAACATGTAGATGTCAGTCATATGTATTTTTTTTTTCTGCATAAATATGTTAATATTTCATAAGCCAATAAATAAGTTGAATATAGATTTTTTTTTTTTTCTGTATAGTTTGTCTGATTGTGTCGTTGATGAAAAAAAAAAAAAAACTCTAATTTATCTTCATTCGTGATTTGCTACATTGTCTTTATGATAGATTGAGTGAATCGAAATTTTATTTTATTTTTCCTCCTTTTTTTTGTTTTTTTATTTTTGTGTTTTTTTGGTTATGAATGAAGAATATGTTCGATGGTAAAATATAATATTATATTTTATTGTAATACTTTTTTTTTCTTTATTATAAATATTAGTTACTTCATCAACATCAACTTCATTAAATAAATCAACAATAGAAACAATAAATCGTTCAATATCTCAAATACCTATGAATGAAAAACGACGAAATTATCGATTTTATGCAGGAGATCCGTATGTACAAAAAAATAGAGAAATTCGATTTTTATTATATATTATTTAGTGCAATTCATCCAGCAGAAAAACGATTATATGCAAATGGAGATTTTGAAGGAGTAAATTAATTAAAATTTATATACAAAAAAAAATATGAATCTTGATTTTTTTTTAAAGACACCACTTCATGTTTCCGGATGTCCAGATCCACGTGATATAACAAGATATGATCGATCATATTATGATTTACCTGTACCAAAATTTAAAGTAATTTCTTATATATATATATATAAGAAATAATAGAATATTTGTATTTAGCTTGATCGTTGTTGGGTTGGTACAATACCAGCTAAAGAAGTAACATTTCGAAATTTAAATGATAATATAACAAAAATATATTTAACTGATATGTGTAAACGTTTTGGTGAAATTGATGATTGTAGAATATATTATGATCGACAAACTAAAAAACATCTTGGATTAGGAACAGTAAGATTTTGTTGATTATTTTATTCTATTTTTTTTAAATAAAAAAAATTAGGTAATTTTTAAAACAACAAAATCTGCACGTGAATGTGTTAATGCATTAAATATGACAACAAAAATGGGTAGTATTATATCTGTATCATTAGAAACATCTGGACAAGAACGTACAAAACAATATGCAACTATGATACGTGCACAAGAACAAGAAAAAGTTGCACAAGAAAAAGCATTAGCAGCATCAGCTGCTGCATCACCACCACCACCACAATTAAATGATTTAAATCTTAATAATAAACAAACAGATAAATCTGTACAATTACCTATTAATCATAAAGTAACAAATCATTATTCTCAATCATCAAATTTATATTCAACACAAAATCATTATCGTACAACAAAATGTTAGTAAATTTTAATAAATAAGAAAATATCGTTTTTTTTTTTTTTGTTGAATATATACACGTTAGAGTAAACATATATATATATGTTTTCAGTTTCATCATTCAAACGAAATAATCAACGTACAAATGGAAATTATTCTAAAACATATCAATATAAAAGTATTAATGCTGAGTTTACTTAAATGCTCTTGTATAATAATATTTTTTGTTTTGCTTAAAAGTTTTCAATTAATTGAAAAAAAGATTAGATTAAGTACTAATAAGAAAAAATAAAAGAGAATAATAGATAATTAATTTTGATTATAGTCAAACATAATGTTTGAAATTATAACAATCTAACTTATTCCTTTTGTTTTATTTATATGATTTAATAAAATAAAAATTTAATAATTTAGATTCATCAACATCATCTCGATATGATTCACGTGGTCATCATTCCGTTAATGATAATTCAGAACAATTTTCATTTGATCCATATGGTTCATTTGGTAATAATAGTAATAATTATAAATCATCATCAACATCTCATCGATCTCGTCATCGATCACATCATCGTCGTCCATATTCTCAACAACATCGACGACGACGAAAAACTAGTAGTAGTACAACATCATCATCAACATCTCGTTCATCATCATCATCATCAACAACATCAACAAGTTCAAGTTCAACATCAAAATCCTATTCATCATCATCAAGATCAAGATCACATTCAAGTTATTCATCAAATCATAGTCCAAATCATAAATTAACAAATGATTCTCGAATAATAAATAATTCGAAACAACAAAATGATGATGAAGATCATCGTCCAAGTTTAGATGAACGTATAGCAGCTTTATTTCAACAACAACAACAACAAACAACTGTTCCAACATCTATACCAACTAAACCTCATCATCGTCCATTACCATTACCAAATGCTCAACTTCAAACACTTTTTTCTTATCCACCACCACCATTACCAACACCATTAACAAATGTTGTTGGTAGTCATCATCATCATCAACAATCTTATGGTGTTGTTAATAATTTTAATTTTTTTGGTAATTCATTTCCACCAGCATCATTTTTAAATTCAACTGGTGGAACAAATTGGCAAGATATGTTTAAACAACCACCACCACCACCACCACCATCATCATCAACAACAACAACAACAAATAATAATCCATCATATAATACATCAAATGGTCTTCAACCACATCTAAATGATAATAATGATGAACGTGAAAGAAAAACAAATGATTTAACAACAGCTGTATCAAATATAGTAACAGGAGAATTAGTTGAAATACTTCGAAAAGATTTATCAAAAAAATTAATTGAAACATTAGTTTATAAATCAATTGAAACATGGTATGATAATGAAGAACGAAAAGATAAAATAAGAAAAATAAAATCATCAGAAAATTCTATACATGAACAAATATTATTAAATAATGAACAGTCAAATTTATTACATCATTCAATATCAAATTCATCATTAGAACGAACACCAGATGAAACATCTAGTCCAATGATAATACAATCACATAATAATTCTTCTTCATCATCATCAACATATTTTGAACATATGAAAGATAGTATTGGTTCATCTATACTATCACAAATACCAAAAATACCTTCATTTAAAGTAATTTATAAAAATGAAATTGAAAATTTCATTTTTTATTTTATTTAGAAACGAATCATTCCAAATGAAAAACCACTTCTTCCACAAAAACCAATTGAAAATAAAGAACCACAACAACAACAACGATCACGAAAAATATCACAAAAACGTAAATTTTTATGAAAAAAATTCTTTTTTGGTTTGTTATTAAATTTTGTTTTAGGTTTAAGTTCTAGTAGTAGTGATTCAAATATAACACCTGAAAATGATGATAGTCAAAGTCGTGATTCAATATCAATACCACATGATGATATATCATTATTAGATATAAAAACAAATAATAAATCTACTATTGATCAACCAACTCTTGAAGAAGAAGAAGGAGAAATTAAAGATGATGATAATGAAGAAGAACAACAAAATAATTCAGCTCAAATAGAAATTACATCACAACCCGAACCATTACTCACACGACCACCAACACCACCACCACCACCACCACTAATATCACCAATAAAAAAAATTCCAAATAAAAACATTGTCAAACAGAATAAAAAATCTGGATCAACAAAAAAACGAAAAATAGAACAAATTAAAAATGAACCAATACAAGAACAAGATGATATTGATAATAGTACATTAGCAAAAAGAAAGAAAAGGTAAACATTAATATCAAAAAATAGACACATAATTATACAACAATACATATACTAAAAGAGATTTTCGAATAGTTTTTTTTTAATCCAATCGTTAAATTTTAATTTATTTATTTAGTGCAACAAATCTTAATCAACTGACAAATACAAATAATTCAGATATACAACCAACTCAAACATTTAATTTATTAGATAATTTTTCAGAACAAGTACGAACATTACCAATAAAATCTTATAATCCATTTGCTTATATTGAATTTGAACATAATTATGCTATTATGGCTAAACAACCAGTACCAGTAGCTCATCGATTAACTATCGATGGTTTACATGATATGGGTATTCAAGTTCCAATTATAATTCCTCCAACACCAAAATTTCTATCACGTGTACATGATGATGAAATGCGAATTATGTATGAACTTGATCATGGTGTTGATGAAGAAGATATGTCCTATCTTAAACAAAGTTTTCAAAGGTATATATTAAATATTTTTTTTATTTTATAGATATTCTACAGTAGAAAAATAAGGTTTTTATTATTTTGTCTTTTATTCAATAGGTTAAAATGATTAACGAATAATAATAGAAAAAAAAAAAAACTAGTTTTTATATTTAATGCCTTAACATTGACGATTAAGTTTAAACTCTATATAACTTATTATTCTTGAGTTAATTGAATTACTTATTTCTAATGATTATAAAACAAATATATATTTTGTTTTTCTCTTTCTAATGTCATTCATTTTTATATTTGCTCTTAATTGATGACTTAAGAAATGTGTGTAAAAATCAAATTAAATAAAAAGTTTTCTTTTTAAAGAGTTGTTCAAAGATGGATTGAACAATATTTCATTAATAATTGCATTCATCTATCAACATTATTTAATCATGCAATGACACAACCTCTTTCGAGTAATGAAAACCATAGCTCTCTATCTCCTTCTTATGAAATGCTATTGCATATAAAACTACTAATTCACTAGTAGGAACTGGAACCAAAAAAATGAATGTTTTCGCTAATCATTATCTGTGAATAGAATCAGTCGGGTCCGAATATTAAAATTTTTACTAATCGAGTTCAAGTCTAAAGAAAATTTTGATACATATAGTATTTTTTGAATCTTGTTTTTTTTTGTTCGTTTTATACAAAAAAAAAGAAATTAAATTTATTTATAAAATAGATAAAAACCAACAAAATTCTTCTTGACTATAATATCTAAGCCGATTTATCATTATGTTTGGATCCATAAAAATTTAATCGGTCAGGTCCGGATCCAGGTATAAAAATTAAAAAATAATCGGGTCCGATTACAGAAATTCTTGAACCCGACGGGCTCTACCTGTGGACCACTCTGTATCTATTTATATCTAATATTCTTTTCTATTTTTTTTTTTGTTTAAAAGATTATGTCAAGAAGGACATTCATGTACAACAAAAACACGTTGGGTTGATCATCCACCAAGTCGAGATTCACCATTTATTAAACAAATACCACAAAAACATCGAACAGGTATTTATTTTTTTTGGGGGAAAACAAAAAAAAACTTATTTATTTATTTTATCAGGATGTGCAAGAACCGAAGGTTATTATAAAATAATAAAAGATGAAAAAATTCCACGTTTAAAAACATCAGATGATTCTCAAAGTACATCAATACTTCCACAAGCTATACTTGATACAAATCGTACAACAGGTGCACAAATGTCACGTGAATTACGTAGTGAACATCGACGAAATTTATTAGCATTAGGTGATGTTGAATTTGCTGATCATTTTAAATTTAGTCAACTTAAAGTATAATAAAAATTTTAAAATTCAATATATATATATAGTTTTTTTTCTTTTTCTTCTATGAAAATATAGTTAAGAAAAAAACGTCTTCGTTATGCTAAATCAAGTATACATTCATGGGGTTTATTTGCTTGTGAACCAATTGCAATGGAAGATATGGTTATTGAATATGTTGGTGAAACAATTCGACAAAGTATTGGTGATTTACGTGAAAAAAAATATGAATTAGAAGGAATTAATTCAAATTATATGTTTCGTATTGATTCTGATACAATTGTTGATGCAACTAAATGTGGAAATCTTGCACGATTTATTAATCATAGTTGTGATGTATGTGAAAGTGATACTTTTTGTTTTTTTGAAATAAAATTTTTATTTTTTTACAGCCAAATTGTTATGCAAAAATAATTCCTGTTGAATCACAAAAGAAAATAGTTATCTATTCAAAACGTGATATACGTCTTGGAGAAGAAATAACATATGATTATAAATTTCCACTTGAAGAACAAAAAATTCCATGTCGTTGTGGTGCACCAACATGTCGTGGTTCACTTAATTAATATGTTTATTTTGTACATGTCTTTTTTCGTTTCTCGAAAAAAAATAAAATCTCTTTCTCTATGGAAAAGATGATTTCACTTCTCGTTCATTTCATTTTTCTTTTTTTTTTTTTGGTTTTTGGTTTTTTTTTTCTTTCTCTTTAGAATATCATCGAGTTGTTGTTATTGTCTTTCTTTTCTTGCCCTGTGACCATTTTTCTTTTTTTTTTTGTTCTATAAATAAAACATACATTGTCCATTGCTTTTTAGCTATAGATTAGTATATGAAAACAAACAGACGAAAACCTAAAGTGTTTATATTTGTTCTTGTGTACGGAATACAATAAAAAAAAAAAAAGAAAAAAAAAACGCACTAATCGTTTGTTTATGTAATTTCTTGTATGTCTATATCGTTTGTTTTCGTTTTTTTTTTTATTATTGAACATGATTGTGTGTACATATTCAGATATTTTCCGCGATGGATACATATGAAAAAAAAACGATTTGAAACATAATCAATGAAAGATATAAATTGTTTTTTTTTTTTGGTTTTGGAAAATGATATTATAATAAAATACTTAGGGCAAACCAAAAGTTCGTAGAACGGTGTTTAAAGAACCTTGTCGGATAAGGTAATCTATTCAGAAATGAAAAACTAAATACACCATGTTGTAGAGCTTTTTGAAGCGCGTCGAATGGTATATAATAAATCCTGTTTTCATAAGACTTTGAAGAAACTAGAGACAATTTACTGATAGACGACTACACACTTACACTGACAAGATGACCGGAGATGCTACATATATGAGATTGTAGCCTGTCAAAAACACTGCAAAATCGTATGTGAGAAAAAAATATTTTACAAATACTTTCGACTAATCCCAAGAACCACAATAGGGTGTGGGTGCGTAGTCGTCTATCAGTAAATTGACTCTAGTTCCTTCAAAGTCTTATGAAAACAGGATTTATTATATACCATTCGACGCGCCTCAAAAAGCTCTACAACATGGTATATTTGGTTTTTCATTTCTGAATAGATTACCTTATCCGACAAGATTCTTTAAAACATGTTCTACGAACTTTTGGTTTGCCCTAAGTATGATTGATATAGATCAATTGAATACAATGAAAATTAAGCGTATAAACAATTCATGTTGTACATTTATCTTCACAATCTCTATATGGATAGTTTTTGTTGGCCTTCAATTACAAATTTTCAAAATCATAGGATTTCGTGTTCCGAATTATACAATTATTTTCACTAAAAAAATTGACCAAAATTTAGATATTGTACGTCGAACCGTACCTCAAATGTATGTGTTGTACTTGCAAGAAACAGCTATTTATATTACCTGGTTTTTTTCGTAAAAAAGTGATCACTGGGGGAGGGTAGCGCCGCAAAAATGCCGGTACTCTCCCTCAGAGCAAAGTCAAATCTCGTAAAATTTTTCCACTTTTGTGAGAAAATATAGGAATTATAGGACGAATCGGATCCCAGGTTTTGTTATGGATTGAATTGCATGAAAATAATTTATACAATATATTTTGTATGTTTTCCAGATGTCACAGCTGCTTTGTTTAAGCATTCTTATGAGTTCCTTATGATGAAACTATAGATTTAATAATCGAGAATGATATTTTAATTTTCAGATTTTTTTTTAGTGTGAATAAATTGATAGTAAATTTTCATTATTTTTCAACAGTATTATTTCCTTAGTAATATAAATATATTAAGAATTTTTATTAAATTGATCTAAATTCATTCTTTTTTTGTTATTTATTACTTTTAATTTAAAATAAAATCATTTTTGATTAAAATTCTTCTTACAATGAATCCATAAATTCTTTTATAGCTTCAATTGTTTGTGCACATGTTTTTTCATAAATTCCTAAATAAAGATCATATTTTGTTTTTTTAATTTCTATTTTATTTATTCATAAAATATTTTACCTGGTAAACTAAAGAATGAATGAATGACATTTTTCATTAACACTAATTTTGTTTTAATTCCAAATTTTTCAAGTTTTTTTTGATATTCTATTATAAAAAAAAATCATTTATAATTATATTATTTTTTTTGAAAATATTTTTTACCATAACTATCATCTCGTAATGGATCAAGTTCAGCAACAATAAATAAACATGGTGGTATACCATCAAATGTATCATATAATAAAACAGATGCTCGAGGATCTTTCTTATCATTTTCATTACGTAATGCATTTGAATTAAACCTAAAAATTAAAAAAAAGAAATACATATTACAATAATTAATCAAAAAGAAAATTACCAATTAATTACTGTAGGTGTTAAAATATGTTCTGGTCTAGTAAATTCTTTATGTGATTCTGTTTTATCAGCAAAATCAAATGCACCATAAACAAGAATCTATTTATTTAATAAGATACAATATTTTTTTTTTATTAGATAGAAAAATATCTACTTGAAAATCAAGTTTTTTTATTGTATGACAAACAGATGCAGCAATTAATCCACCAGCACTATCACCTGCAACACCAATCTTTGTATTTTCATTAGCA